GTGTAGAACCGGACCGGTCCAGCTGGGACCGGTCCAAGCGTAACACAATACTTTAGGTTTCGTTTGGGACGGCTTTCTTACTACTTCTTAAAACAGCTTTTTAGTATAAAAATTTTAATATTTTACTAGAAAGATACTTTAAGAAGCAATAAAAAAGCAGTCCCAAACGAAGCCTTAATCTGACCATTTTTCAATGCGATAGCACTTAAAAAGATTATGCTGTAGGGGAACATCAATTATGTTGAAGTGACTACAGCTTCTTATCAGGCGATGATCATTACTCAAATGGACAACATTTTGGCTCTATTATTGGATGAACTTTATTCAGAAGAAATAATTACAGCTGCTTTTAACGAAGGCAGGGATGCTGGAGATTAAACAACCTTCTTACCTAAGATTTTCCCATGATGTTATCTTTGATCTTTTAATAGACTCTGTAATCATTGAATGTCTTGGCAAGTCCTATTTGATATTAATCAGCACTTAATCTAGTTATGCTCAGGGTTGTTTGGTAGTAAGATTTAACTGAGATTTAAGCTAAATTTTTTACAAACAGTTTTTGAGGCATTTAAATCCTATTCAGCTAAAAGTCCCATTTTTGCTCCATTTTTTAATTTATACGGGATTGAGTAGATCTGGGGGAAATTGGACTTTAAAATTCATGTACTCTAAGTTGGAATATTTGCTCCTCATAAGTCATTATAGAGGTTTGTGTGGGGCTATAGGAGCAGAACAAAATTATAAGCTAGTTGGGCCCCGAGATATGGAAAGGCAAAAAGCATCCAAATAATCAAGGTTTTTAGTAGATAAAAAGGAGCTGATGAGAGAAGGCTAAAGGAAGAGAGAAAGATGGAAGTAGGAATGTGAATAAATAAACTAACCAAACAACCTGATTTGAACTGGGCTCGAAAATTTAGGTTTGAGCTGACTTTATTATTATTTAGGTCGGCTTAGGTCTAAATTATAAACCCAATCATTATATGGATTGAGCTTGGATTAACCCAAATAATTTGGGTTTGGGTTAGGCGGGTTTGAGTCATATTAATTAGGTTAAATGGGCCATATTCAGGTTAATTTGATCGTGTTGATCTTAAAAAAAAAATGCATGATCAATATAATAAATGTGTTCGCTAGGTCAGATTCGGGTTGATTCAGGTTTGAGTCAAATATTTTTTGACTCATATGATAAACGAGGTAGGTACGAGTCAAGCAAATTAAGGTTGGGTCAACTTTTAATCAAACCCAAACCCAACCTTTAAACACAAATTGACACCCATAGATGGGAGGGGAGGAAAGGGGATGGGGAGATAACAATAGCATAATTGTGTGTGCCTTCAGTGGCTTATGCGACTAACTATCAGGTGACAAGAAAAGAAAATAGAGAGATTTGTTGAGAGCTTTGTTACATCCAAGATGTTTTATATAAGATTAGATTTGACACGTTGGAATACTTTTTTCATAACTTTACTTTACAAGTCATTGCCACTGCTATTTGGTTACTAATTTTTTAACTTTTCAGATACATTTCTATGACAAGAATGGGTTTTTCATAACTTGATCTACTAGAATATGATAATTGTAAAAAAAAAAAAAAATTAATTTCAAAGTAGTCCCCCGACTATTTATATATAATCATTTTAGTCCTAGACTATAATATTGCTCCAATTTAATCCCTCTATTGTATAAAATTTATCCAAAATGGTCCCTTTTAGGCTAAATTGAGATTAATTTTGTAAAATTGAGGGACTAAATTCAGATCAATTTTGTTTACTCGAGTGACTAAATTGGAGCAACCTAATACTCAGTGACTAAATTAGACATACACGAATAGTCTGGGGACTATTTTAGAAATTTTCTGATAAAAAAAGCTACTATTCATCTTCATATGAAGGGAAAATACATGTAATTTCGCAATAGCTTTGAAAAACTATGTACATGTAATTTCGCAATAGCTTTGAAAAACTATGTTTTCCCATATAATTTCGGCGACAACCATCCGAAACAACCCCTTAGACTATCCAGTTCAATATATCAAAGATCATAGTTTTGCACTCATAGTTTAACATTACTTATTAGGTATAACTCAAGAACAAGAAAGAGAGTTAGACAAACCTCAGACAAGGAAAGGCCCATATCATTCATGATTCCAGACTGAGATGGCGCAGAAAAGCCAACCTGAATGTTAACAAAACATTTTTTTTTATCCCAACTGGAGATTTCTATTTATGAAATGAATATTCATTTGAATTAAAACTTCAACGGAACAGATTGATTAAACAAAACAAGTAACTATGATATTTAGGGTTATCAAGCAAACAAGAGATTCAGAATAAAACAAGTATTTCGAGTAGCAAAAGAAGTGAATAAAAAAAATGAATTTTTTGCGGATCTTACACAGGATCCAAATATAAATGAGCCACAGACGACAACGATTGTGCTGAAAAGAATCATCCATATGGATCTTTTGCTGCTTTTCAAATCTCCATGCTCGATGAGAAGCTCCACTGAGCCATTTTGCTCGCTTCCCATCCAATCCTCTATGTCTTTGTCAATAGCCATTTTTCAGTCTCCTCGCTCTCTCAATCTCTCTATGGGAGATCGTGAATGAGAGAGCAAAAGACGAGAGGGGAATGGAACTTCTTGCCAAGAAATCGAAGTGATTGAAAGAGAGTGTGGCAGCTGGTCAATGCTGAAATTGGAATTTTTAAAAAAGAAAACTTTTTGCTCATATTTGAACGCACAGCTTTCTGGCCGCGGACGTGGCAACGTAATCTTCTATAAATATATTATATGTGGCAGTCATTAATTTTTAAATAAAAAAGTATTTTAATTAACTATTATATCACATTATATTATTCTTATAAATAACATAATTAAGAGTGAAAGTTTAATTATTTAGCAATTAAAATTGGAAATGTCCGATTTAATTGGATATTTATTCAATGAAACTAAATCATTTTGACATAAAACTAATTTTAAAAAAAATGCAAAACAAGGCTAAATAGAATGAGTAAAAAATTAGAAGTAATTGAAAGGTTAAATAAGTTATTTTATTCGTTATTTTCTATGATTTTTTTATGACGATAAGCTTTTAATTCTAAGAATTTGTTTGGAACGGATTTTTTTATTATTTCTTAAAATGGAGTTTTAATACAAAAATTTTAATTTTGTATTAAAATTATTATTTAAGAAACAATAAAAAAACCATTCAATATAAGAATGTTGTCTAACTTTTTATGGGCAAAAAAAAGCCTATAATGCATACAATTAACATCTACCAGACCCATTTTTCTTATAATAATTTCACAATTAATTTTACATACAATAACCCTTTCAAACATACCTAAAGCCTTTATTGGAAAGGAAATTAAATATCAGATGCGGAGACAATAAGCTTTCTTTTGTGATGATTTTTTCTTACGGCTGTTTTCTTTGTTCAGAAGTTCATTTTGGCGTTGTAAAAATATAGTGTGAGAGGAGATCCATCATGAGGATGTGTCGTGTGTTGGAACAATTATTACGTCTTCTGATCGGATGTAGAGCTACGTTCGGCCGCCAATAACATGTCGCCACGTGCTCTTACTCTTTACCATGCGGCCTGACGACTTGACTTGGACCGGAACCCGAGAATACTATGTTCGTGTATTGCGAGGTATTACTCGGTATTTGCTCGGTATTGCTAGGTATTGCTTGGCAATAACGAGAAATACCACTCTGTGAAGACCAATACCGAGTTGTACCGAGTTTTTCTAGAAAAACTCGGTACAACTCGGTATTAGAAAAACTCGGTACAACTCGGTATTGCTCGGTATTGATTATTGCCAAGCAAAATCGACCAATACCTAGCACTACTGAGCAATACCTAGCAAAATAGAGAAATACTGAGCCATCTTGGGTCCATTCCGGGTCGGGTTGTCGGGGCGTGCGGTAAATAGTGAGAACACGTGGCGCGATTCTACTGGTGGCCGAACGTAGAGCTACGTCCTGTGACCGGACCAAATAAAAGTTCCATGTGTTGGGGGCTCTAGGCATGTTGTACATAAAATATAAGGTATATATATATATGGATCTCAGAACAAT